AGCCGAGAAGGCGATGGACGACGTCTTGTCCGCGTTGACGCAGTACTCTGGCTTCCGTTGCGACGGTGCGCCAGGCGCGAAACCATTTGCCGTTGAAAGCGGTGTCGCCACCATGCGAGCGTGGTTTGGGCCTTTGCAGTGGCGGCGCATCGCGCCTGGTACACAAAACGCCATGCCACCCAGGCCGAGTGGACCTCAAGGGCCTGCCACTGACACCGGACTCTCTCCGCGCGACGCGAGCGCCCTCGTGTCTTGAGGACGGACGCTTGCCAGTCGCGCCAGACTCGTCGCAGTGTGGCAGTGCTCTGACGACTCCGTAGACGCTCGAGATTTCGCCGCCGTTGGCAATGCGCACTACGTACTTGGTAAAGCCGGCACGATTCCAGCTCGAGATGTACCGCTTGTACGCTGCCCAAGCTCCAAACAACGTCCCCAGTAGCTTGTCGCTTCGCCGCCGTGAATACGCGGTGGCGCGTCGCTGGTGTTGGAAGCGACGGCGCCAGGCGTGCCACGAGCCACGGCTCAAATTCTCGAGCTGATGTTGACGCACGAATATCTGCACCTTTTGGAGGCGACGAGAGTACTGGACGTTCGCACGCCACGTGCCAAAGGTGCGACCAAGGTGGTTGTAAAGAGCGGTAGCCAGAAGGCTCGCCATGCGCTGCTGATGCTGTCGCGTCTACTCCATTTCATGATAGCATGCAGGTTGCGATCGAGCCTGTCGACGAACCTCGCGCCAGCGCCGCAAGGTGCGCCGCTGCAGGTGGCGATGGTGACACGCCCACGCTGCCATCCATTTCGCGTGCCGCGCCTGCCGTTGAACGACAAAGCGTTGCCAGAGCAATAGCGCGCCGGCTTTTGTATGCGACGCCATCTGCGCGTGAAAGACAGAGGCGATGGTCGCGTGCAACCGACGGCGCTTCCAGTGCCGCCAGAAGCGCCGCCTTCGCACTGTTTGCACCCGGCGCAGGTCGATTGTCTGCGTGTGCAGGGCAGTGGCCGTCGACCTACGACGCATAAGATATTGCAACTGTGTTGTCGCGACGCACGCTCGCCAGCGCGCGACCCAGCGCAGCGTGTCGCAGCGTCGAAAGGCAGAGGCGACTGTCGTTTGGAGAAACCGGCGTCGGCGCGCCTTGTGCAGCAGCTGGTGCCACGCGCGCCAAAGCCTTTGCGTTTGTGTGGTGGCACAATGCTACGAAGCGTCCTGGCATGCAGACCGTCTGAAGGCGAGAGGAGACGTACGTGGGTAGCACGATCCAGCGCGAGGCGGTGATACCGGCCGCGGCGACAAAGGTCGATCCACATCGCCAGCGCCCGCCGCCGCATGAGCCCGTGGGCGACGCGGTCGCAGCGAGCATGCAAGAATCGCTTGGCTTGTTGCCGTGCAAGATATCGCCGCCATTGCACAACGCAAGCCCGCAGGTGACGAAGTACATACGTGTGGTGCACGAGATGAAAGGCGTGGGATCGTACGCAGAGCGTCCGCCATCGACACAAGGTGCGGCGACAGCGCGCTTGGTGGCCGCGCCACGCAGCCTCTTGCTGCCGAAGAGTGCCGGTCTTCCACGCGCGAAAGGCCTAATCGCATCGCGTTACAAAACACCTCGGGTCTTGTCGTCGACCTGCGCGAGTCGGCGAGTGGCAGCGATGGCTGCATCTGCGTCGGCTCGAGCGCGCTGCAGCCGTCTCTGGTGGTGGAAGGCGCGCCATCGTTGAAAGATACGCTGCTGTTCGTGCAGCACGTATGCGTGGTCTGCAGCGCGAAGGCGAAGGGCGTCCTTCCAGGCATGCCAATGCGATCGCATTGCTTGCTGGACGTGGCGTCTCGCCATGTACCGCTCTTTAGGGGCGACAGCGATCACGTAGCGGTGCCAGAGACGCAGCAGATCGCGTGCGTCTCGGTGCCGAGCGTCGTAGAAGCGGTGCTGGACCGTGACTCGGCGATGGAGGTCGGCGCGTGCATGCTGGATCCATGCTCGCCAGACCTTGAGGAGTACCCAGGTGCGCAAGGTTGCATCGGCGTGGAGCAAGAGTGCCATGCGCTTGGACGTGACGTCCAGCGACTTGGTCAGCGCGAGCGACGCCAGCGTCGATCCCAGTGCTGTCGGATCTGCTGTCGGCAACGTTGTGTCGAGCCACCGAAAGAGACAGCGCAGCTGGATGGGGGCAGGCGCCTATCCATGTCGAGCTTCTATAGTACAGTTTGGAGGTTGCGGTATCGCACCGGGACCGCGCTTCGAGCACATAGCGCGTCCAGTGGGTAAAGGTCATCGAGAGCAGGCGGAAGCTCTCGTACGAGTGCGTATCGACGACAACGACCGGTGCGCGTGTGGCTACGTGGCATGACATACTCCTGCAGACAGTGCAGACGCTCTACCTGTCATCTTGTCGGTGACGTGCATGGCCGAACGCGCACGGCGTCCGTCCGTGCTCGTCTTCACCGTCATTGTCGTCCGCTGCGACGTTGTTGTCGCGGAAAGGACGTCGGAGAAGCGGTCGACCGACGCAGTTCGATCCCGCGACGGTGCTCGTCGGCTTGGACGTGTCGACGCCTACGAATGTATGAGCAAGAGACTGGCGAGGGATTGGTGGGAACCAGCCGGGACAGCTTCTTCCACCAGTCCTCTTCGGGGTCGAGGGCCAGCGTGAGGAGCGACCGGTGCAGATCTCGATGCGTCGAGGTCGGGTGCTGCTCGAGCGCAGCGGCCTCGAGCACCTGCACGAGCGAGAGATGCTGCGTCTGGCCATGGCGCTTCTCGGCCCGGCGGACGATCTGCCGCAGCTGCTCCATGTCTACCACGCCTCGATCGCCCGTTGTCCATCAGCATGCGAGGTAGAACGTACGGAGCTCCATGCTACAAGCGTTACCCGGCACTTGGCCTCCGCAGATTGGAGTATATTAATATTCGAGCAGAAGATCCGCGGCCGCCGAAGATCGCAATGTATCGCTGTGATTGGTTGACGCAATATGTAGCGAGCGCCTATTCGTAAAGTAAGTCGCCAAAACCAGATCAATATACACCTTGTCTGACGCGAGAAGCTGAGACATGCGACATGTCTTATAGTAACAAGTCCTAGTTGTCCTTCAATTCACTTGGCGTTGCTGGGTGCCACGTTAGAGTCGAGGGCGTCAACGAGAAGCTGATTTTGGCGGTAGCATCGTGCAATGGAGATCCAGAAGAACGTTTGCAAGTATCGAACCCATCGCCAGCCAAAGAGCTTTTTGAACGGGTGTAACCACGCAGACAGATACGACCAATGTTAAAATAGGAGCGACCAGGTACGTCTTTAGCTGTGCTTGAGAATGTGCAATGTGTTGTCGATGCGCTTGAACGTGTTCTTGGTGCACTGCACGATGAGGTCGGCAAACATGGCTGCGGCTTCCGCGTCCGACTTGTCGCTGCCCATGATCTCGACAATGTAGTTGATGTCGTCGCGCCGACGGAGCTCCGGCATGTCGGCCGGAATCATGAGCAGGAGCAGAGAGACTAGCAGATGCAAGTGCCGGCGCACCACGTTGAACGCCTCGCCCGCGAGGTCCTGGAACTTGCGGAACATGTCAGTGCCAATGCCGCCAAACACGTGCGCCATCTCGGGTGTAAACACAAAGGGCGTCTTCTCACGCTTGATACCATACTAGACAGACCATGATCATGAGATTCCCATGCAAGAGGATCAGAATTCCCAGTACCTGGTACTTCATAAAGCCGAGGAAATGGCCGAAATCGATATGGAAGTAGCGGCCACCCGTCGTGATCTAGCACCATAGCCCATGAGCTTTCATATGGAGGGAGATCGAGGCATACCATGATGTTGTCGTTGTGGCGATCGCCGATACCGAGGACGTACGTCGCAACGCAGTAGCCGGCGCACGAACCAGTCACCTCTCAGTCACCTCCCTTTTGCTGCGCGCGTCGGCGTTGTTGGCTTCGATCCAGTCGGTAAAACTCGCATCGTTGAACGCGCCAAAGATGCCGCCCATCGCCCCGCCGCGCTTGTGTACGTCGGCCGTCGTCACGGCATGTTGGACGACTTGAAGGATACCGGTCATGGGGCCCGTCGAGACGCACTTGTACGGCTCCATGGCGAGATCCTTGCCGTCTTCACGCCACATTTCGTCCATCAAGCGGATGAGCTGCAGCGTGAGGCAGTCCTGGCGCACGTCGTCGCCGGCCTTGAAGATGATGATGACCGGGTCGCCGCCTTCCTCGGCATTTTCAAACTCGAGCCAGAGGGGCAATTTGGCCGACGACATGATCTTGCACTTCTTGACAACGATGCGGCGGACTTCGACACGCGGATCAATCGGCAGCTGGTACGCCGACTGGAGCGACTCGTTGAGTTCATCGAGGCGCTGATGCAAGAGCGCCTTCATCGCGTCCATCGATTTGTTGGTGTGCGCGAACTCCTTGATCTCTTGGCAAATCTGCTCAAACACGCCCTTCTCCGAGAAGAGCTTGTCCTGAATTTCGAGGATCGAGCGCATCTTGTACGAGCACACGTCCACGTACGTGTTGAGGAGGAGGCCGTACCGCTCCTTGTACTGCTCGTTGTACGACTCGACCTTCATGCTCCAGAAGAGGTCAAAGCCGATCTGGTTCGGGTTCTTGATCGCGCGCTCAATCAAATGCTTGGCGAGTGGCGACACGTGGTGGTTCTCAAATTTAAGCGCTTGGACCAGCTGCGGAAGGAAGTAGCTGAACGTCGTGTCGGCCATCTCAGCGAGCTTGTCGACGGCAAACTGCCGGACGCCTTCGTGGGCAAACTCCATGTCGAGGAGCTCAATGTACGCGGCGGGATGGCTCGCCTTGGCCCAGCGCGGGAGGAACGCAATGACGTCGTCGACCTCCTTGGCGTTGAACCAGTTGACACACGTAAGCATGCGTGGAAGAAACTCAAACTTGTCCATGAAGTCGGCTCGGTTCTTCCACATGATGGCCTTCTGGAACGACGAGAGGCGGTAGAGCGGGTCCCGCCGGATCGTCTCGCGGAGGTCGTCGAGCGCTTTTGTGCCGCCGTCCGAGAAGACGCTGCTGTTGAGCGACGATTGGCGCCCGCTCATGACACGGCCGCGCTCCGACATGAGGTTCATCGAGTAGCCGTGCAGGATCGTGCTGCGATCCGCGGCACCCGGGTCCAAGGTCAGTCGGCTGAAGTCGTTGTCGTACTGGTTGCCCAGGTTGAAGCTGTCGTTGTCATCCTCGTCGTCCGAGAGCGTCTCACCCGACGCTACCATCTTGATGGCCATGAGCCACTCTTCCCGCTCTTGGCGTGTGTTGGCGCACAAGATGAACTCGCGCGAGCTCTCGGCCGCTCGGAGCTTAAAGACCCACGTGCTCTGCTCTTTGCGCGTGCCCTTCGAGACCGCAAACGTCGTGTAGCGCTCGTTGAGCTCGTCGGCGATCATGACGTTGGCACCAAGGAGGTCGATCGTGTGCTTGGCCGGCGCATTGACGTCTTCGGCGTACGAGAGCGAGTGCGTCGTCTGCGACAGCGTGAACCACCGGTTCTGCCACGCGGTCAGCGTGTGGCTCTTGCCCGTCTTCTTGAGCCAGCCCGACTTTTCGAGCGTCTCGCTGCGGGAGCCGTTGGTGCTGGACGAGAATTGTTCGGTCGCTGCGTTCGACGCGTTGCCCGCCGACCAATCAAATACAATGTCGGCATGGAACGACGAGAGCGACACCTAGATGCATCGCATGAGGTCGTAGGTAGTATACAGCAAGAGCGTACGTGGATAATGGGCTTGGCCGGGTCAATGACGTGCGGCACCGGACCGTGGTGGCTCGTATGCAAGTTGTCGAGCATCTGCATGTACTGGTCGCCCTGCGCGATGAGGCCCTCGACGTCAAACACGTTAAGGCCCGTCGTGAGGATGCGTTCGCGGTCGTTGCCGTCGCTGTTGTTGGAGACGACGCCGCCGAGGCCCTTCCGGACACCATAGAGCGTAAAGACGAGGCGCGCCGTGCGAGGAATCTCGTACAGACGCAACTTGGTCTTGTACCACTTGGGCTCGGTCCAGACCGCGATGAGACCGTCGTCCATCTGCGCCTTCATGCGCACGTCGGTGGTCTCAACCACATTTTCGAGGAGCTTGCCGCCGTTGTAGAGCTCGATGGTCACAATGCCATTGGTGAAGAGGAGCGGCCGCTGCTCCGGCGCCATGTCGTGGGCCGTCCGGCGGAGGTGCGTCGTGTAGCGAGGGATGTTGAGCACACGGTTGATGCAAAAGCGGAGCGGCTCGCGGTAGTGGCAGCTCTTTCCAGTCGTAAACTGGCTGTCGGCGTTGTTGTCAACGTCGCTGGAAGTCTGCCAGTCGTTGCCAAGCGTCGTAAAGTTGAACTTGTTGCGGCTCGCACCCGACGACGACGGCGCCGGCCGGCACACGGCTTCGTTGTAGATGAGCCCGGACGCCGGGCGCATGCTCAGGCCGCGCTGGAGCGCTTCCTTGATCTTGCTCTGGTGCACGAGCGTGAGGCAGAGAGTCTTCTTCGTGATTAGGCACTCGCGCACGTGCTGGTAGTTGCTGACTTCGCGGAACGGATCGATCATGTAGTCGCGGTACCCGGTAAACTTGAGCACGTACTCCTTCGGGTCGTACGGATGCAACGGCGCTGCGTCCAGCATGAGCTTGTAGCAGTTGAAGATGTGTTCGACCGACTCCTGGACCGTGTAGGACGGGAGGATCACGAGACGGACTTCGTTCTCGGCGGACGCCGACACCTCGGCGAGCTGGAGCATGCGCCGGTAGATAAGGTTGACGCAGTGAAAGCGCACCGAGTGGCAAAGCGCATGGACCCACATCTGGTACTCGTCTTCGGACTCGGCCTGCAGCACCCACGTCCGGTTCGTCGTGACGAGATCGATGCCCCACTTGACGGTCACGCCCTTGATCGTGGTCGGCTGGACCGACGAGACCTTGTCGAGCTCGATCTTGCCCTGCATGAGAGGGACCTTCTCTTCGCGCGAGAGCGGCCGGCCGCGGTGCTCGGGCTTCTTTTTGTAGTACGTGAGCACCTTGTTCTCGAGCTCCATGTAGCGCTTCTTCATGGCCGTGTTTTTCTCGCCCTTCTTCTTGAGCCAGCCAGCGACGTTGAGCTTCTCCTTGTCGACACCGACGTGGTTGGGGTTGGTGATGAGGAGGCTCATGGGCAGGCGCGCGACCGTCTTGAGCGTCTGCGGCAGCACCTTGTTGCTGTTGCGGTGCGCGATCCAGTCGTCGTTCTCGAGCCGGTACTCGGGCGTGTTGGCGCGGATCTCGAGCGTCTCGGCCTTGACCTCTTCGTGAACGCCCTTGAGGATCGCGCCGACCGCCTGCCGCAGCGCGAGACTCTCCTTCGAGTGGACGAGGCCGGGCACGGGCTGCCACCGGCCGGCCTCGGCAGCCTTGGCACCGCTGCCGTACTGCGCGAAGGGGTTGAGGTCGTCGAAGGCCGGCAGCTTCCCCGAGGTCGCCATGGCCGCGAAGTCCATCGAGCCCCGACTGCTGTTCATCTTATCTGCGTCTGTGTCCAGGGTCGCCGCCGAATATTGAATATATTTAATATAATAAAATGCTGCAATTTTATTCGACTTGCAAAGAGATGCTGCCAGTCAAACGGCGGCCGACCGTATCCGGCCTCCCCGTCGCCCGCGCATCCGGATACCCCATCGCATTGAAATACCATTGGTGCAATGGACAGCATGAATATTAATATGATCGCCTTTTTTAATTGATGCTGTAAAAACACAAACAAGCACCGGGATCGTCGTGGGATTGTCGCCGTCGTTTGCGCATATTTTATTTTATTATTACTTTCAAAATATTCGACATGACTCTCCCATCTTTATAGCCAATGAAATGCGTTTGCGTGAGATTCATCGCGTTGGATTGGTGGAAATCCCCATATGCGCCGAGTTCAACGCGGCCAAGCGTGTCAAAGCGATACAAGCACCTTGGCGCCGAAGAAGGGTGCATTGGGTATATGTACCGATCCTCGTGGATGGGAATGAGCGACATGGTGCGTGGCATCGAGCGCAAAGGACCGAGTGTGGCAAGTGAATTCGATGACCGTACGATTCACTGACTCAAATTTCGACTCTCACGACCCCGCGACAAGTGAAAAACGTGAGATTTGCATGTGAAAATTCATCGGCAGGCTGACTCGACCTGCAAAGCAGTGAGTCGATCACCGGGTCTATCATAGCGGCTGGTTTCGCGGGTCCGGGACGGCGCCTATCGAGGATCCACCGACGCCCAGTACCCTCCGCGCGGTCTCGATTGCAAGGTCTCGCTCGTGGGTCGTTCCGTTCCCAGTACCGCGTTGGCCTACCGCCGCTAGCATGGATCGGTCGTGTTTACAGTTAGTAGTACTTGGCGATACTATCTACAGTGTAATCGTGCGTCCGTCCAGGTCAAGGAAGAAGCGAGCATAAGCCGTCCACTGCCACGTCGCCACCGGCGCTCACCGGGTGGCGCCTGCTACATGTATCTGCCACTGGACGAAGCTTCGAGACGGGCCAAAGCGACGCAGACTCTTGCACTTGACGTCGCTGCGTCACGCCCCCTTGCTGAATTGCCGTGGCGGGAGAAGCGTCGTTGAACCGCGTCGTCGGTGGGTTTTGTCGAATCGCACGCGTGTGTATTGTATATATCACATATTTCACGTGAGAGGAGAGCGCTGTTGCGACATGCCAGTCCGGATGCTCAAAATGGATGCTCAAAAGTCGGCGTTTTGCTCAATCCGAGTTTGGTTCCGTGGATATTCACCGACGACGACGAAGATGGTGATCCGCTGCACGTCGTCGACGGAGCTCGAGATGGCCTTGCCGAGCATGGACGAGCTCAACCCGTATGGTCTCTCGTGGTGTGGCGACCTCGACGACAACAACAACAACAACAACAATGCGGACGCGGGCGGCGTCGAGACGTGGCATCCCTCATGCACTCGAAGGAGAGCGTCCGGTTCCGCGAGGCGCTCTCCAACGTGCTGCAGGACATGCACCTCGACGTGTCGCCGGATGAGCTCGAGGCGCGCGCGACAACGCCCGAGTACAAGCTCGAGCAAGGCGACTGGGCGGCGCATGACGTCGCCGACGCCTTCCTCAAGACCGTCGCCCGGCTTCCACAAGAGCTTCTCGACGACGACGACGACGACGACGAGCGTCCGACGATGCCTCCGAGCGACGCGCCCAGCACGCTCGGATGGCTCAAGAAGCGTGGCGAAGGCAACACGTCCATGAAGAAGCGCTGGATGCAGCTGGAGGGCAACGTCATTGCGTACTACAAGCGCGAAGTCGACAACGCCAAGTACTCGCGGCCCGAGCGCGCCAAGCTGCAAAAAGGCATGATCGAGCTCGACAAGATTTCGTGCTTCCAGCCCTGCAGCGAGCGCGACCTCTGGTGGGCGTTCGAGCTCGTGACGACGAACCGAACGTGGGTGCTGCAAGCCGAGTCCGAGGCCGAGTACATGAAGTGGGTCAACGCGCTCAGCCACACGGTGAGCTTCCAGGTCGTCAACATCGTCTACCGCCGCATGCTCTGCCTCCAAGAAGTCCGCGCCACCGCCAAGACCGACGTCCGGCTCAATCTGCCCCAAGCGTTCACGGTCGAGATGGCCATTGCACACATCTTCCACAGCTACGAAGCGACGGTCGATGCGTCGGCGCTCCGGCCCTACAACCCCTCCGACTACGTGCTCAAGCTCACGGGCTTCAAAGACTACCTCATCGACCCGAAGCGCCGCGTCGCCGACTACACGTCCGTGCGCGAGTGCCTCGTGACCAAGAAGATGCTGCGGCTCTCGGTCGTGCCCAAGGCGTCCTTGACGCTGACGCCGAGCCACAAGCGCGTGCTGAGCAACATCAAGTCGTCCGGTCGACTCTCGTCGATGCTCGCAACCTCGATGGCTGCGTTCGAGGCGCCCGACGTACACCACACGACCAACAACGCGGTCGAGAAGATCGAGGACGACGCGATCCCAGAGACGACGACGAGCGGCCCGTCGCTGCTCGCGCCGAGTTCGAACCTCAAGGAACCGCTTCGTTTCTGCATCCATCGCGCCATCAACTGCCCGGGCTATACGTCGTCGCTCAAGCGCACGTCGCATGACATGAGCATCGAGAAGCAACCGCTTCTGTATGCAGATGTCCTCTTCCGCGTCGAGCTCTTTGACGGCGGCCAGCGCCTCGAAGACGCGATCGAGTCTATTGACACCAAGCTCCAGCTCCAGACCGCCTCGACACCCGCGAGCAGTGGCGTCGCGTGGACCGTCAACGACTACGTCGCGCGCTGGCACGAACCCAAGTGGTACCGCACCAAGATGAAGATCAAGGATTTGCCGCGGACCGCGCGGCTCGTGTTGACGCTCTACGGCGTCAAGAAGGACGCGAATGGGAAGCCCAGCGCCAACGTCGACGAGCGCGAGCGCATCTGCAGCACCGCCATCAACGTCTTTGACGTCGACGGCCTCCTCGTGCAAGGCGACGTCTACAACCAGCTCCTCTCGAGCGTGTACACGCTCCGCGTCGGCCCGGTCCCGCACATCATTGACACGACCAAGCCGTACCTCCACGTACATACGCAGACTCTCTCCCTTCAATGGTACCATCGATGGCGTAGGTGACGATGGCGCAATTCCCCACAGACGTCCAGTACCGGCTCCAAGACGACGACAGCAACAACGTCGACAACCAAGACGAAGGGGTCAATGAAGACGACGGCGAAGGCACGCGTAACCTCGTCATCGAAAAGAAGGGCTGGCTCAAGAAGCTCGGGCAGCAAGGCTCGCTGAGCAAGTGGCGCAAGCGCTGGTTCAGCCTCTCGTCGTCGACAGGCGTCCTCAGCTACAGCGACTCGGCCCAAAGCAGTAGCGCGCCCAAGCTCATTCCGCTCAAGCAGGCGACGGTGCTCATCTGTGACGCACTCAAAGAAACGTACACGACGTTTGCGGTCAACAAGGGCACCCGCCGCGAGCAGCGCACGTGGGGCTTCAAGCTCAAGCCGTTCGAGTCGAGTCGGGTCTTCCTCATCGCCGCCGACTCCAAGCAAGACCGCGACGAGTGGATGGCGGCGATCCGCGCCGTCGCGTTCGAAGCGTCCGACAACCAAAACGAGTTTCGCGAGCTCGACGACTCGGCGCTCAGCAGCCAGCGCAGCACGATCACGGCGTCGTCCGTCTCGATGGACGATCTCAAGCGGCTCGACACGGCGTCGATCTTCGAGTCGCCGTCGTCCTCGTCGTCGTCGTCGATCGCCGCGGTCCTCGATGAAATCAAAGTGCTCATCGAGACCGACCCGCTCGTGCGCCTCAACAAGCTGCAAAAGACCGTCCTCTGGGCCCACCGACACCTCTTTACGCACTCGTTCCGAGCGTTGCCCCGAATCCTCTCGTGTGTGCAGTGGACCAACGCCGCGGACGTCGAGGAAGCCCGCGCGCTCATGGGCTCGTGGGCCGCGCCGCTGCATCCGGCCGAGTACCTCGAGCTCCTCGACGTCGAGTTCTCGTCCGACCACGTGCGCAAGTTTGCCGTCGACAAGCTCGCCACGATGGCCGACACGACGTTTAGCTACTTCATCCCGCAGCTGGTCCAAGCGCTCAAGTACGAGAGCTACCACGCGTCGCCGTTGGCGCTGCACTTGATTGAGCGCGGGCTGCGCAACCCGAACCAGATTGGGTTTGACCTTTTCTGGGCGCTCAAGGTCGAAGCCGAGAACGACCGGTTCCGCGAACGCTTTGGCACGCTCTTGAATTCGTTCATTGATGTCTCGTCGGCCAAGATGCGCGACGTGCTCTTTGTGCAGAGCACGCTCTTCTCGCCGTCCGGGGCGCTCGAAGCCATCTGCCAGTACGTCAAGCAGCTCAAGGCGGCGCGCAAGACCATGGACGAGATCCGCGCCGAGGTCCGTATCAAGCTCACGGCGCTCAACGCGACTCTGCCGGCGTCGTACCAGCTGCCGATCGACCCGCGTGTCGAAGTCGGCAAGCTCATCGTTGCCAAGTGCAAGGTCATGTCGTCGGCCAAACTCCCGCTCTGGCTTGTGTTTGAAAACGCTGAGGCTGGCGGCGACCCCGTCACAGTCATCTTCAAGTCGGGCGACGACGTGCGCCAGGACAGTCTGACGCTGCAGCTGATCCGCGTGATGGACGAGCTCTGGCGCGAGCGCGGCCTGGATCTGGCCATGGAGCCGTACAAGTGCGTGGCCACGGGCCCCATGACCGGTATCCTCCAAGTCGTGCTCAATTCGATCACGACGGCCGACATCCACAAGCGCATCGGCACCTTGGGCGCCTTTGACGAGACGAGCTTCACCAACTGGATCACGGCCAACAACCAAGACAAGAAGAGCCTCAAAATGGCCGTCGACCTCTTTCGCCGGTCGTGCGCAGGCTACTGCGTCGCGACGTGCGTTCTCGGTATCGGTGACCGGCACAACGACAACATTATGGTATGTACCTTCCCGTTGGGGTGATCTGTCATAACAACATGTAGCTCACGCACGCGGGTCGGTACTTTCACATTGACTTTGGTCACTTTCTCGGCCACGTCAAGTACCAGGTACGACTTGTCTCATCGACGAAGTTGATGCGATGTATTAACACATCGTGTCTAGTTTGGCATCAAGCGCGAGAAGACGCCGTTCGTCTTTACACCCGAGATGGCGCACGTGCTTGGCGGCGTCGGCGCAGACGACTATGCCAAGTTTGTGCAGACGTGTGGCGACGCGTTCAACGTCGTCCGCGAGCACGTGCCGTTCCTTGTGACGCTCTTTCTGCTCATGATCCCGGCCGAAATGCCCGAATTGCGCAGCCGCGACGACATCAACTACCTCGTTGAAGTGTGTGTGCCGACGCTCTCGACATCGGATGCAGCCAAGAGCTTTGAAGTCGCTATCGAGTACTGCCTCGGGTCACGCTTTAAGCGCTGGGACAACACACTCCACATTGTCGCGCACAAGTACTTGTAAGCCTACATGTATCTGTTTATGAACTGCGAGTTTAAGAATTGTCTTGTCTCTCTGGCACGTCTGTCTCTTGCGGATCGTTGGATCAAGCAAATCAGAACAATGGTTCGTATTCCCTTGCTTTGCATCCACACAGGAGACCACGAGCCGAGGCAGTTGTTTGTACCACGTATCTCTAGCTTCTCACAAGTACAGACGGTCGAGGCCAAGACGATTCCCTCAAAAGCAGGCTTTCGTGTGCTGTAACTATCAAGTTTTCAACCATTCCCATGGCTATCTCGTCACAGGAGGTATATCGCATCACGGCAACGGCGTTTCCCTCTCACCGAAACGGGGTATGAGACATATTGTACACTACTAACATCAACGGCGATTCTACTCTACAGGTACTTGTGGGCGATGATGTGGATCGTGTTGTCGACGCGCTTGAAGGTGCTGCCCATGCAGTAGTGCACAGCGGTCTCAAAGTTGGCAGCTGCCGTCGCATCGTCGACGTCGAGCAGTGCAATCTCGACGAGGTGGTCCAAATCCCTTGCATCCCGCAGCTCGGGCATGCCGGCCGGAATCATGAGCAAGAGCAGCGTCGAGAGCAGTGCCACGTGCCGGCGCACAATGTTGAAGGCGTCGCCGCACGTTTGGACAAATTGCGAAAACGCATCCGAGCTCACGCCGCCAAGCACGTGGCCCATCTCGGGTGTAAATACGAACGGCGTCTTCTCGCGCTTGATGCCAAACTAGACGCACAGTGCAGACGACCCGTCACACTGCTCGATGGTCTCTACCTGGTACTTGAAGTGGCCGAGAAAGTGACCAAAGTCAATGTGAAAGTACCGACCCGCGTGCGTGAGCTACCACGATTGTTGTCAGCATGACAGATCACCACACCGAGAAGATACCATAATGTTGTCGTTGTGCCGGTCGCCAATGCCGAGAACGCACGTCGCGACGCAGTAGCCCGCGCACGACCGCCGGAAGAGATCGACGGCCAGGCCATATGCCTCGGGGGTCGGGTGGTGCAGACGCAACCACGACGAGAAGCTCGTGTCATCAAACGCACCGAGCGCTCCGTTGCGCTGATGGATCGCCGCGGTCGTCTCGGCCTGCAAGACGACCTGGAGCAAGCCGACGCGCTGGCCCGTGGCCACGCACTTGTACGGCTCCATCGCCAGATCCAAGCCGCGCTCGCGCCAGAGCTCGTCCATCACGCCGATCAGCTGCAGCGTCAGGCTGTCCTGGCGCACGTCGTCGCCCGACTTGAAGATGATTGTGACGGGGTCGCCGCCAGCCTCGGCGTTTTCAAACACAAGCCAGAGCGGGAGTTTGGCCGACGACATGACCTTGCACTTGGCGACGAGGAGCTTGCCGACTTGGACCGAGTTGTAGAGCGGCAGCATCAACGTGCTTGGCAGCGTCTCGTTGATCTCGTCGAGCGTCCCTTGCATGGCTTGCTTGATGTCGACCATCGACACACTCTTCTTCTTGAGCTTCTTGACGTACTGACTCAAGTTGTCAAAGACACCGTTCGAGCCAAAAAGATGGTGCTGGGCGCGACACTTGTCGCGGATCGGCGGCGCGACGCCGGCCATGTAGGCGTTGAGCAGCGCTACGTAGCGTTCGCGGTAGCCTGCATGCGGCGACTCGACTTCGACGGTCAAGAGCCAAAAGAGGGCAACGCCGGCGTGCCCCGGGTACGTCCACGCCTGCGAGAGCACGTGCAGTGCCAGCCCCGAGGCCAGAAACGGCTCGCACTTGATGGCTTGTACGAGCTGCGGGAGGATGCGCACCCACTCGTCGGGTGGCATCAAGGTCAGCTGGCTCAGTGCAAAGTCGCGGACCAGCGCCATTGGAAACGCCGGCGTCAACAAGCAGAGCCACTCGGCTGCCATTGCCGGTTTGGCCCAGATCTGAAGGCAGATCGCGGCATCGTCGACGTCGACGGGGCTTGTCCAGTCGGCGCTCAAGAGCACGTGACGCAGCATGTCAAACTGATGCAAAAATTCATTCCGGTTGGACCACACGAGCGCTTTTTGGCTCGACGAGAGCTTGGCGAGCGGATCGCGCGTGAGCAACGCGACCACGTCGTCGAGGGCGTCGCCGCCGACGCTGCTCGCATTGCTGCTGCGCGGACTCTCGGCGCCGCCCGACGGACTTAAAAGGTACGAGAGTGGCGAAGGCTCTACGTCGGTGGAAGCGGCTTGAATCGCCGTCATCCAGCTGGTTCGATCGGCCTTGGTCGGCGCTGAGAGCACCAACAAGTGCCCTTGCGCGAGCACTTGAAAGCAAAACGTCGACTGCTCCTTGCGCGTCCCCTTGTTGACAGCAAACGTCGTGTACGACTCGTTCAACTCGTCCATGAGGCTCACCGACGCCGACGAGACGTCGATGCAGTGCTTGGGCGGGAACGCCGGGTCCTCGGCGTCGCGGAGCTGGCCGCCGTCCAGCACAAACCACCGCTCGGCCCAGATGCGCCGGCCGACGCCGCGCCCGAGCTTTCGAAGCCACCCGCAGCGCGGCTCGATCGACGCCATGCGCCCGCGTTGCTGCTTGAGAAAGACCGATTTGTGCATGAGCTCAAAGTAGCATCGGTAGTCGGCGACGCCAAAGCTCATCTATATTGTGCGCATGAGGCGAGAACATGTTAGCACACAAGAGAAATCGACGTACGTGTAGCAACGGCTGGGACGCATCCAAGCACTGTGGCGAGAGCACGTGGGTGTGGGCGACCATCGCGACGTACTGTGGGCCCTGCCGCAGCTGGCCGTGCAAGTCGAATAGCTGCATGGAGGCGGCGACAATCTGCTCGCGGTCGCTGTCGTCGCCAAGGCACGTGGCGAGCCCGTGCACGTCTTTCTTGACGCCAAAGAGCGTACAGACAAGCCTATGTTCGCGTCAGAGACGCATCGCATGGCGCAAGTATGAACTGACCGCGTCTCGCGGGGCAGCTGGTTGATCTTGCGCTTCGACTTGAGCGCTTTTAAAGACGCGGGCCAAACTGCGGTCCACGCCGGGTAGGACGTATTGGCTTGCAGCTTCACGGGCGCGGTTTCCTGCCACGGTTCGAGCAGCGTCTCGCCAAACCAGAGCTCGACGCGCACGACCACGTGCGAGTACATGAGCGGTGTCGCCTCGAGACCGAGGTGCGATGGCTGCTTCAGAAACGCGACGAGTGGAATGTTGAGCGCTTCGTGCACCGAGATGCGCACCGACTGGCTCACGCGCCAGCTCTCGACGAGCGACGGCATGGTCAGTGGAAAGGACATGGCCGCATCGAGGCTGCGCGCGGGCCGTGCCATCGCCAGTGGACGGTGGTTCGTTCTCAGTGTCGACATCGCCATCGGCGGCACGTGCACGAGGACGAGGTGCAGACTGCGCGAATCCGTCGCCAGGAGCTCAGCGACATGGGCAAAGTCGTGCATTTGGTGGGTTGTCGTCCGAAGATAGGCTTGGTGTCCGCCAAAGCGAAGTGCAAAGTGGTGCATCACGTCATCGTCTTCAACTGTCTCGTCATCTTTCTCGTTGCCGGTCCTGACCCCGAGCTTGGCCCGCGTGAGCGTGAGCACGTCGCCGACCAAGGCGTCGGACGGAAATTCGATCGTCGGCAGCGTCGAGGTTGATCGCGAGCGAAGCGTCGCTACATCCTTTGTCTCGACACCTTGCAAGGCCGAGTGCACGGCTGCAGTTGGCACCGCGGTCGCGAGCTCGCGTGTCCATTTGGCGTGTGCGCTGGCGTCGTCGAATACGAGGCTCCACGTCCGAGCCGGCGTCACGAGGTCGATGCCAAAGCGCTCTTCGGCGTCAGGCGACGGCTGCTTGACAAATAGAGATCGAAGACTGCGGTTGGCGGGCCCAGACACGAGTCGCACGCTCGCCGGCTGGAGCGAGGTGACGGCCGAGAGCGGCACGGACCCACGGTAGCCCTTGTTCTGGTCGTACAAGCCGTGCCGGCCAACCGGTGCGTTGTAGTACGAGAGGTCGCCGTTCTGAAGCACAAAAAACCGCCGCTGGTACGCCTTGTGGGAATGGCCTTTCTTCCAGGCCCAGCCGGAGAGGCGCGCGGCCGATCCGAGGTCGTCGTCGTCATCGTCGCCGCCGCGCGTCGCGTGCTCGACGCTCGACTCGAAGGCGACTGTCGCAAGGAGCGCAACAGGATGGTCTTGGTTGGTCGTATGGGCCTGCGGAAGAAGGAACTCTGGCATCGCAGCCTCGAGACTTGGCGGCACGAGAACACTGTCCGCGGCGCGGAAGAGATCGATGCTTTCGCGCGAGTGGGTCATGTCGGGGCAGGGCAGCCAGAGCCCGCTGGTGTCGGCCACGATCGGCTCGCCCGCGCACGGGTTGAGCAGCTCGGGGGGCGGGACGCGCATGCTAAAGACTGGGACGCCCGCTTTCGAGACAGCACCAGCTGGCTAACCCGCAACATTGCCACATGGCGCGCCAAGAATAACGTTCCGATTCTCAAGTCGCGTCTCTTTAATCCCCCGTTTTTCCAGATCATCCAATTTCGAAGCATTTCGACACGTGAAATATTCGTACAACTGATATAAATACAAGCTCGGCGCGGTTTAGGATGCAATTGTCACGGGCGCGTGGGTCGGCAGCGTGAACGAGAGCACGGGGGTGGGCGACCGCGTCGAGAGCGGGAGGTGAAAGATCGTCGACGTGAGCGACTTGCGCAGGCTTCGTGACGGCAGCGTGATGTAGTACCGCGACGGCGATCCGAGCGGTTTCAAACTCGTCTTGACGATGGCTTCGAGCGTCAACCGCGTCGCTTCGTGCTCGGATGGCGAGAGCGAGGCCGGGTCGGCAAAGTACCGGCGCTGCCACGTGAGGATCGCGCGGCCCCAAAGCGACCGCGCTTCCGGCGTCGCGGCCGTGAGCTCGAGCATCTCGGGCGGCGCCAGCGTGTACGTACGGTCGTTGACGAGCACGCGCTGCGTCTCAACGCGAAACGTGTTGGGCACGTGGTCGTCGCGGCGGTGCGCTTTGACGCTGACGCGGCAACCGGAGAGGCGCAGGTCGCCGATGAGCTTGTCGTTGGCGTAGTACTTGAGGTAGCCCTCTTCGAGGCGGAAGAAGCACACGTGCGCCTTCTTGCCCGCGTGGCGGATGAGGTAGCCGTCGTAGACCATATTGGTATCCTGGTGCGAATTCGAAAATGACCGAAAAATCGACGCACCAAAGCTCGAACATGTAACGAATTACTCGCACCAGCCTCAGCGTCTCATGCGCAGAGACGACGCGATGCAGCCCGAGAGTGCAGGACGTCCTAAGCACGGTGCTGCATCGGTGCACGCAGTGAGTGATGCCGGCGTGGCCGCCAGCATCGTTGGCCGCGTATAACGTGGCGGGACGCTTTCTTCGAACTTCGAACAACCCACGTGGCAAGCTGCGACAGCATGCGAAGTGCCTGCGAAGTCTATGCAACCGAGATGCGTCCAAAGAAGCGTCGCACTCTCAGGTACGGTCGCTACGACTAGTGCGACTCTGGCGATGCTCGGTTGCGCTCCTGGTGTCGCTCGATGGTGTCCTCGGTCGCGCTCCTGGTGTTCTGAACGTCGGCGGTCTACGGAAAGAGCCAGTGCTAGAAACCAGGTTGCCGCCCGAGCGTGTGTACATTGTTGTCGTCGTTGTCGAGGAGGCATTTCTCCTCGATCCTCATGTCACGACGACCCTCGTCAAAGTCGCTCTCGAGTGCCGACAAGAGGCGCGTGGCCATCGCGCAGTGTCCTGCGTCCGCCTCGCACTGGTGCAGGACAAAGCGGCAGAGGGCGCGGAGGTCGTCGACGTCGGCGTCGTCGTTGTTGGGCATGGGCTCGACCATTGTCGATGGATCGTCGTATGCTTCGGGCGTCGATGCCATCGGAAAGAGCGCGTCAAGGTCGCAGTCCAAGACGAGGCACTTCAAAAAGAGGTTCCAGTAGACGCCGGCATCAACAGCGAGCAACGACGCCAGCGACGCGCCGTGGAACGACTGCAGGCGCGCTTTCATGGCCGTCCACGGCAGAAACACGACCGGCTCGGACGCGATCTCGTGCTGGATGACGCAGAAATGCGGCGCGAGACTGCTCCCGCACGTCGGGCACCGCACCACGTTGGGCTGCCGCTCGAGCTCGGCGTGCGAGAGGCGGTGGCCGCAGTCGGTGCAGTCCGAGAGCAGTGTCACACGGACGTTCTCGCGGTGGAGCCAGCCAAACTTGTCGTTGACAAACCGCCGTGGCCGCAGCACGGGCTACAACGCAATTTCTTTGCGCAATCGTGTGTTCGAGATACCTCTCCTTGGCTCTTGTCGAGCGCGGTCAAGCCCCGCAGGAAGGTCAGCGTCACTGGCCGCGGCGCGTCTTGCAACACCCGCGCCGCCACACTGAACGGTTCGGTGCTCACGAGTCGTCCGTTCACCGATTCGAGCACATCTTGTTCGCGGATCTGGCGCGGTCCACTACATTGCCGATAGAATCGCACCCTTGTCGCAGTGTCAAAGTACCTCTCGTCGAGACCGGTGACGACCGCGCCCTTGCCGTCAACGTACGGCCCGATGCGCACGCCGAGCGTGCCGACGCTGAACGTAGCGTAGATGCGGAAGAGGAGGCTCTCGAGCTCGTGTTCCAAGCAAGTCGCAGCACTCTGCACCGGTGCCAATGCCCCGTTGGCCGATGGCGCCGTCGATACTTGGGAGAACCACTTGACCGCCTCGTGAACCTCGCCGCGCTTCAGAAAGGCTTGCATCATGTGGCTAAACGGGCGCCAGTACGGCGCCTTGTTGTAGATCGATCCGAGCGGAGGCCCTGGCCCGAGACACGCAGCAAAGACATGCCGGATGTCGTGCATGTGGTGCTGCTTCTCGCACAGTGCAAAGGCATCAATGAGGCTCACATAGGCCGCCTAAGTTAGTGAGGCATGATGGGAAACCAAAGGCGAGCTGTACATCGAGTGCGTCACTACTCTTGGCACGAACGCTTTCTTCAAGCGCAATCGTGGCCCGCGTCACCCGCGACGCGCAGGCGGGCGAGCACGACGTGAGCAGCCACGGGCGTTGGCCTATCCCTGCCGTCGAGAAAACATAGCACGAACGACGACGCACCGTCACGACGCGAGGCGTTCTGACTCTGCGTCCGGTGCAGCGGCGACGGTCGAGTCGTCGGGCTGCCCAGCGTCTTGGTCCGACGAAAGACGGACTGGACGGCCTTTCCTTTCTCGGACGAGCGCAACCACGTGTCGAGCCAATCGAGGACGGACGCCCGTGCCTCGGGGGTCTACGACAGAGTCCCGTTGCAGCTCGTATTTTAAACGTTTCTCGGCGGTCGTACGGTGACGGTGCTGCTGCTGCGACGACCCACGAGCACGCAATCTACGTCGTCGTCCGGCTCGATCTCTGTCAGTTGGCGAACCGGGCCAAAGGCGGCGACGTCCAGGTTCGGAAACGTCACGTGGAACTGGAGGTTCGACGCGTCGTTTTGCAGCTGCAGCGCCGGCGTATCGGGGGCCATTGCGACGTGAAATTGCGAGTTCTCTTGCGCAGTCGGCGACAGCAGTGGGCTCTTGATGGTCGTCGGCGGATGCTGCAGGCGAAAGAAGCGCACCGCCCGCGACGCCTCGTGTGGCGACGCCATGCCATCCAAGAAGGCCTGGAACGCATTCGTGTCGGCGAGCGCCGTATAGAACGCCTAGCATCCGCTTCTGCATCTCCCATCTCGCACATGCCTTGGCTACCTGTTGCGACGCTGGCTTTGTGCACACGTAAGCGACAACATCGCCGCGCAAGCAGTGCTCGTGCCCGGCCACGAGGTCTCCAATCAAATGCGTAAAGGACTTGGCCACCTTGCGGACCAGCGCCGAGGACCCGAGGAGAAACTTGCCGCGCTCGTACATCAGGTCGCCCTTGTTGTTGGAGTAGAGCGCCTTCTGGAAGGCCATTCGGCGCTCCCAGAGCCGCCGCGAGAGCTGCGACGACGTCTTCTTGAGCACGGTCGCGAGCCGGTCCTTCATCGCAACGACCGCGTCGGGCAACGGCGGCAGCTCGATGGCCGACGTGACGCGCCCTTCCGGCAAATCGACGCGCACCACCTACCGCGCGCGGCTCCGTCGATGCAACGAACGATCCATGAAGAATGTACCGTGGGCGGCAAGGCAGCGCCTTCGAGCTGGAGCGGATGCGCCCCGGCCACGAACGGCACGGGCGCGTCCAAGAGGGTTGCCATGTCGACGCCGAGTGGCACCACGGGGATAAAGACGTGGTCCCACTGCAGCGGAAAGAGCAAGTGCCGAAGCGTCTCGGCGACGGCCGTGACGAAGAGCGTGTCGACGCCGACAATTAGCACCGCGTGCTCGAGCAAGAGGTGGCAGAGCACATTGAGCAGCGTATCCGGCGTGAGGATCGCAAACGTATACTCGAGAAACTCCATGTCCATCTCGAACGGGACGTCTTGCATCGTGTAGCGCTTCAAGAGCACGTCCGTCTACACCGCATGCTGGTTGTTGAAGAAGGGGATGCCCCTTGGGACGCAGTACGTACATCGCCAATGCTGGCGACGACGCCTGCCCGGCCGCGTACGGGCAGTGGCACTTCGAAAAAGAGGTTGGCCAAGCTCTTCTCAACGCCGGTATAGTCGACTTGCCGCGCTTGGTGCACGCCAAGGAGCGCGAGCTGCTCGAGGTACTTGAGCAAGGGGCCGCAGAAGGGCCTATACGCCCAATCAATCCGTTCTGCCAAGGCCATGGAGCGTACCACTGGCTCACAAAGCAGAGCGACGTGAGCGTATGCTGCACGTCGCTCGACGACGTGAGCGTGCTAAAGCAGATGGACGTGCCGTAGAGCGCGGCGCCGGACGCGGTCGTGAGCACAAAGGTGTTGTAGACCGGCGGCGGCAGCAGGCTGCCATGCGCCGGCGACGACGTGCACGGAAACATAAACTGTTCATGGCCATGAGCCGGGATGGCTATGTCGCGGGCGGGGTACCATGAGGATGTTGGGCGGGTACTCGTCGGCCTCGGTCGTCGCCGGGTATTGGAAGGTGAGCGCCTCGTCGCCGGCGCCTAAGCCTTGGCATGAGCAAGCACCGGCGCAGGAAGCTCCGTACCTGTCTTGGTCGCGACGAAGAAGTACTCGACCAGCCGGCGTGGCGCCGTCGTCGACGTCGGGTCCGTTGCCATCGTACTGCGTCGGTGCGAAAATGGATCTTTGTGAAAATGGTGTGCGCCTTGTGAAAAACGTTTTTCACCGCACTGGCCTTTTCACGCCAAATACGGTGTTCATATTCGTTTCAATGGACAATATTGCACATCGAATAGCACTATGCGCTAAAATAGCGTAGCAGCGAGGACTCGTAGTAGATATTAACACCACATCGTATTATTGATGTAGACCATGTGCGCTCGGTCCATACAACTTGCAACTCCGCGCCCCAACGACCCGACGACGTCACCAGGCGCAGACGTCGGGCAAGCACGAGCATCAAGGACGTGTCCCAGCCAGGCTGCGCAATCAAAGCTGCTCGTTGGTGCTCAACATTAAGGGGTGATCTGGCGTCGTACCAGCTTTTCCTCGCAAGGGCCTTGCCTTGAGCTGGCTCATGTTGTTGATGGAATGTTGGAAAGTGATTTGGCAGAGTTTGTTCACTAGCTCGCTACTACATCTACTGTAACCTGCGCCTGCTTCTTCTAGTCTAGCTGGAGTTGACTACTATGGTCAACCGACTCTAGCTGAAAGACCTTGTTGCGCATTGCTGCCGTGGCTTCCATTCTGAGCGACGTCTGCGCCTGCCGACGTCGTCCATTGGGGGAGCCGACGTCGTCGGGTCGTTGGGGCGCGGAGTTGCAAGTTGTAGCTGTTCACGACAGGTTTAAGAACCCATCGGCCGTTGCCACTCTCATTCTCACTCACTCGACTCTCTGCGTCGAGTCGTCGTCGCGTGCTCTCGCCACATCAACGCACAATGCACTCTCTCGCCCGGCCGAGCTCCGAGAGGAGAGTCGTCGATGCAGCCGCCGTCAAAGCTTAGGTTATACGGATCCGGATATGACGGGCACCGGGCGCGCAACTTCAACCAGCGTGCTCTAAACTGTATAAATGAATATCTGGCTCGACCTCTGACATCGCATACATCGCCGACTGCCATGCTGCCACCGCGCTGCCTCCTCGCGCCCGAGCTGCTCGAGGCAATCGCCGTCTTCGTCGCGTCGCCGCTCGAGCTCTTTGCACTGCTCGAGGCGCTGCCCCACGACGCGCTCTCGTCGCCGCTTGCGAGCCTCCGCGCGCTCCACGAGGCCACAACCTCGCACGTCTTCACGTATGCCAAGTACGACGAAGTGTACTTCAATGGCATCTCGCTCTGGCCAACGCTCGCGCTGCCCCGTGCGATCGAAGATCCAAGCATCCTTCGCCACATTGAAGAGGCGCTCGAGCTCTTCCCGGTCTTGAGCCACGAGTCGCTGGCCTTCCCGCTGCCATTTGCCCTCGGCCATCGCACCAAGCTGCATGTGCCCAACGTGTACTTTCCCGCGGTCCTCGACAAGGCGCTGGCGCACCACCGCGACGACATTGGTTCGATCGGGCTCTTTATCACGGACCGGCGGTCGCGCAGCGCGCATGCCGACGGCGGCCTCGTCCAGCGCTTGGCGTCGTTGTCGGACCTTCCGTCGCTGCGCGACCTCGCAGTGCACATCCAGTGGCATGCATCGAGCATGACCGACGAGCTCGAAGCCGTCCTTGTTGCGCTCATGACCGCGCCCGTCACTTCGCTCACCCTCGATGTGGCGCTTGACGATACGACATGGCCACCGGCGCTCCTCACGGCGTTCACGGCTTGGCTCGAGACGCATGCGCTCTTAAACAGCGTCACGCTCACGCAGCTCACGCTGCCTACCGCCGGCATTGAGGCAGTGTGCGACGCGCTCTGGGCCTCGCGCTCGCTGCGCGCCGTGGGTCTCCACGATCCGCGGATCGTTGCCGCGGTCTCGTTTCTGCGCCGCCCGCTTCCGCCATCGTGGACGCGCTTAGATGCATCGCTGTGCGAATACGCCGATGGGAGTGCGCTGGTGGCGTTGCTTGCGAACGCCAGCCTCGCGCACCTCGCACTCTCGTTCGCGGATGCCCGGTATGCGATCGATGTCGGGCGCGAACTCGTGCTCGAGACGCTGCCGACACTGACTTGTCTTCGGCACTTGAAGCTCACTTCGGTGCCGCTTTTGCCGGACGTGTCGACGGCGCTCGCAGCGATACTGCCGCGTCTCCGCGGGCTCTGCCTCGAGCAAAACATGCTTGAAAACGCTGGCGCGATTGCGCTTTCGGCGCAGCTTCCGCACTGCAAGCGGCTGCAGTCGCTCACGCTGCGACGCCAAAATTTCTCAAACAACGGCTGCGTTGCGCTTGCAGACGGCACGGCGCGCTGCCCCTCGATCGAGTGCGTCGATGTGGCCGACAACCACGTCGGGTTGGCCGGCGCCGTCGCGTGGAGTCGACTGCTTCCGCGATTGACGCTGCTGGACCTCTCGGGCTGCCATGTGCCGCGCAAAGGCGCCGAAGCGTTCGCGCGCATCCTGCCGCACACAACGTACTTGACCAAGCTCGTGCTCGACAACAACCCGATCCAGCGGCGCGGCGTCCAAGCGATCGTGAAGGCGGTGGCGTCGACGCCACACCGCAAGGCCGTCGTGCGACTCGCCGAGATCATCGACTTTGACGACGAAGCGCTGTGCGTGGCGCCGGTCGCCGGCACGCCGCACGAAGCGTGGCTCGAGTTTTACTAGGCCAACGAAACAAGTTATGATCCCCTTGAAGCGGCGGTCTTTCTAACTTTTTTGTCATTTGATACAATACACATGGGTGGTACATGGACGTGGTCGTCTGGTTGTCGCTACAATGCATGACGACAACAAGACGGGTGTCCTGGCATTCTACACCGTGACGTCGTCCCAGTGCCATATTATCCTTCCAGGAAGAGGTACAGGCGTTTAGGGTTGGGGCGCGGAGCCGCATCCAAGATGGGTTGTGCAATTTTGTAAATACATTTTGGTTAGCTACACCACTTGCCCTCCACGAGGCTTTCAAGCATCGATGACCCGAGCGTCTATCTAGGATGTAGTCGTCGGCATCTCGAGGCGGACGTACGCACGCTTGCGCTTGTTGTTGCGGCGGCGGTGCACGAGCACGAAGAGCAGCGCCAGCAAGGCCGAGGCCCGCGAGTGCGATCGTGTAGTAGTTACTGCGATCGCTCGTGAGACGGGGGCGATGCGTCTTGGCCGCCACGAGGGTCGAGAGAACGTCGAAGCGCGGCGTGCCCCAGCCGCTCACCGCGTCCCAACCCGGTCCCGCCGCAAACGAGATGGGACAGCTGTAGGTGCCGTTGCGGGCCGCGCCGTTATTGCCGCTGACAACATCGTAGAACGCAGCGTTGTGCTTGCTGCCGATCTGGTACAAGAGCGGGTTGAGGAACCCGAGGGGCGGGAGGCCAGCGCGGAGTCGTTGGTCGTTCCAGAGCGTGACGAGGCCGGCCAAGGCCGGTGTGGACGCCGACGTGCCGCTGATGCCCTTCACTTTGCCGTTGACAATCACACTATAATGGGCGCCCAGAACGGCAATGTCGGGGTACGCTCGGCCTTGCGGGTTGAAGAAGCCGGGTTTCGTTGGACACGCATGGGACGAGAGGTAGGCCGCGACGGCAGGCTTCTGGTACGCTGGCGTGGGGTAGACGTTGGAGAAGCCGCCGCCCGACGTGATGCCGCCGTGGAGCGCACCCGAGCACACCACTTCAACGCCGTTTGCATCGAGCTGCGTCGCGCCAACCGAGGTCACGTACGGGCTGGACGACGGCCACTGGGGCCCCGACGTGGCGCAGCCTGCGTCGATGCTCATCTTCTTGGCATGAATGCGTTGCCCTAGTAGTACGTCTTTTGAATGTAATACCCGTGACCAACGATCGTTGTACCTGCCACGCCGTCGTCGCCGCTGGCCACGAGCACGGTGAGGCCGCGCACCGCCATCTTTTGCAGCAGCGTGTCGAGGTGCAGCGCGTACTCTTTCGCGACCTCCATGATGTGGTCTTCGTCGTCTGCGTACGAGAGCGAGTGCACGAGCGGCGGACGCGGGTCGCTCAAGACGTCGGCGGCCCAGTCCACGAACGGCTCGTCGTCGGTCGAGAACGGGTTGGTGCTGTTCATCGTCCACACCGTCGTCGTGGCGTTGGGCGCCATGGCCGTAATGTACTGCAAATCGAGCGAGACTTCGCCGGTGGCGTACTCTGGCAGTGGGTTGTTTCGCCGGTTGCCGCGCTGCAGCACGGGCGCCGGCATGAGTTTGTGCAGGTTCTCAAAGGCTGCGAGGTCCGACGGCGACCAGTTTTGCGCGTAAAAGGCAGGAATGCCCTGCGTCGCCTGCGTCACATGGGCGCTCGCCGGGACGTTGTAGAGCTTGCGCAGCTTGAGCGGCGTCATGTAGCTGCTGGCTCGCTTCGAGATCGTCGCGCGTAGTGGCGCCAACGACAGCGGCGCCGAGTTGAGGCTCACAAACGAGAGGTGTCGGTGGATGTGCTCGGGTAGCTGCATCTCTGTCGATGCCCGGAGGATACGACGTCCGTCACTCTGGAAGGTCGCAATCTCCGTACCGAAGAGCTGACGCGTCTCGCCCACGGAGCTAAACACGGTGAGGATGTTGGTGGCTGCGCAATAGGACGTGCGTCGGTGACCGAGCCAGGCGTGAATGGCCTCAAGCGTCTCAGGCGCCGGTGCAACGAGTGCATTCGCTGCTTCCACGTTCAAGTACCGACCGTACGTCGACCGCCTATTTGAAACACGTCGCAGCTTCCGTAGGCGCCAAGGCGACGTACGTTGGATCGGAGACATCGGCCACGGCGTCATCGAGGTGACGCGGGTTCGCGGCCTGGAGGCCCATGGACCATGTGAGCGCTGTGGCATCGGTGGCGTCGGCGGCTAGCGTCCACCGGTGGGAGGCAAAGGCGCGGCGCGTTGTTGTCGCATGCATCGCAAGTCAATTGCCAAGTGAGCAAACGAGGTGTAAGGTGGTGGTGGACAATCGCGCATACAAACTCCAAGTACAGGACAGGCGGGCAGGAGATTCACACGTCGGCTACTCATTGCGTAGCGTGTAGAGGTGATAGCAACATGCACGGTCGGTGGAGCTGGTCGTTCGTAAACACATATTCTAGCAGCAGTAGACTAGGTACTCGATCTACTCCTTGTAGCCAGCGAGGACACCGCGGGGCCGAAGCGAGCACGTGTGTGGCTCGTAGGCCTGGACGTGCGCGGCGAGCTGCGCAACGGTGCAGCAGCCGCACCAAAAGACCGCGCAGACGTCGCCGAGGCACGAGCCGGGGATGAAGAAGAGGCGACGCACCGTGGTCCGAAGCGAGGTCACGAGAATCACCAGCAGCAGCGACGCCACGGCGCCGGCACTGTGTGCGTAGAGGTTGCTCACGCCGCTGCAAGCGATGGCCGTAAGGTACAAGACACCGGTGAGCGCCACCATGCTGCGAAACTGGCGCAGGCCCAAGCGATGCGAGACTTGGCCCAGCGGGATGCACGGAAGCAGGATCGATACGATGCCGTTGGGCACGACGTCAACACAGAGCGCGCCAAAGAGCGACGACCGCCACTGCCGACACAAGATGCCGTTGCGGTCCCACTCGCCAAACTCCTTGAGGCCGCGGTCGCGCTGGAGCGTGCCCACTTCGGTGGGCCGGCCACCGTCGTCGTCGCCAGTTGTATGCAGCAAGACGGGATCTTGGTTGGGCGGGAGACTCGGGACATCGTCGTCGTCGTCGTCGTGGACAAAGAGGTCAGTCGTATGACGGGCCATGGCGCTGGAGAGACGGCTGCGCACTGGTCCCAGACCCGCTGGCAGACAGGCCGCCAATCGGACCGCGGCTTTGCATTACGCGTGTACCATACCAGTTGACATGGGTGACTCCTTTTTTGCAACGTTTGGGGAGGCACAATGCTCCATCCTTCGGATTGGTTCAAAAGTGAGCACATATTAACTTGCTTTCGCTATGTCGTCGGATTGTAGAGCTCTGGATTGGTCAAATTTCAAAGGGACATTCCCTCATTCCAAGCTTGTGCGATGATGCCATTGGCGATGCGCCTCGAAATGCCGATTGGCCAAAACTCTTTGGGATTGTCCTCGCGTTGCACCAATGGCATCCCATCTTGGTTTGTGCCACAGACAGACCAACCTAGCATGGTCGACGCCACGACGCCCCTCTACGTCTTCTACGGGTCGCAGACCGGCTGCGCCGAGTCCATTGCCGAGGTCGACATCTCGTATCCCAGCCACTGTGATGCTCATGCGCGTCGCGTAGCGCCTCCAAAGCGACGCCATCGAGCGCAACGTGCCCTGCCACGAAGTTCGGCCTCTCGATGCCTTCGAAAAGGTACGCTGCCGCGTCCTACTAGCCGTGACCTCTCATGGCAACACGCATTGCAGTCGGGCGTGCTGCAGGATGTCGCGGCGAAGGTCGTCATTGTGTGCTCCACGACGGGCAACGGCGACCCGCCGGGCAATGCGGAGAAGTTCTGGCGCTACATCAAGAAGCGTGCGCACCCAGCCACGCTCCTCTCGAGCATTAGCTTTACAGTGCTTGGTCTCGGCGACACCAACTACGACAAGTTCTGGTACTGGCAAACCCTTCGCATCACATTCGAACGCCACTGTAGTCACATGGGCAAGAGCATCTTCCGTCGCATGAAGGATCTCGGGGCCGTCAGCTTCTATGACCTCGGTACCTCGCCTACCACCGCGCTACCGTCATTGACCTTGGACTGTCCATAGGCTGCGCAGACGAGGCGATGGGTCTCGAAGATTCCGTCGAGCCGTGGATCGACGGTTTCTGGCCGGCGCTGCTCGGCGCGTCGACGGCGGTGACCGTGACGCCCATTGCCGACGACACGACTGTCGTGGCGGCCATCACGGATAGCATGGCTGCCGTCTCGATGACTTCCGCGCCGGCGCTCTTGCCGTCGCAACCGTTCTTGGCGTCGTTCGAGAGCCTCTTGGGCGATGCTGTCGTCGAGCCTGACGCCGCCAAGCTGCCGCGCTTGCACGAGCCGTCGTTTTCTGTCTCGCTGCTCGCACCATCAGACGCGATTGCCAAGACGGTGGCGCAGGTGGCCACGGACACGCTCTACAGCGCGTCCAGTCCGTTCCTCGCCGCGATCGCGTCGGCGCGGTACCTCACCACACCGGCGTCCATCGACCGCACCGTCTTTGCACTCGATTTCGACCTCGCTAACTCGGGTACGCCGACCTCTGAAGGAGGCACTAGACGCTCTGTACGTAGGTATGACGTATGCGCCGGGTGACGTACTCGGTGTCAACTGCCCCAACGACGACGGGCTCGTCGCATTCTTTCTGCAGCGCTTGCAGCTCAGTGCGTTTGCGGACCACCAAGTGCAGCTCGCACCGATCGCGTCGAGCAAGAAGAAGGTCTCGGGGATGCCGTTCCCGGCGCACGCGACCCTGCGCGACGTCGTGCGGGATCACTTGGATTTGGCCGCGCTCCCGAAGAAGGCGACGCTTCGCGCACTCGCGCCGCACTGCGCCGACGCCAAGGAACGCACGCGTCTGCTCTGGCTGAGCAGCAAGGACGGCGCGGGTGCTTTAAAACGTTCATCGACGCCCAGTACCTCAGCGTCCTCGAAGTGCTGTCGCTGTTTCCGTCGTGCCACCCGCCGCTGCCTCTCCTGCTCTCTCTCATGCCCCGCCTCTCGCCGCGCTACTACTCGATTGCGTCGTCGCCACTGGCCTCGCCGACGCGCGCCACCATTGCGCTCACACGCGTCGCGTACACGCAGCACGGGATTCCGCGACATGGTCTCTGCTCCAACTGGCTCCATGACGTGGCGTTTTCGACTGCCACGACGCGGATCCCGATCTTTCTCAAGCCCGCGACCGACTTTGTCTTGCCCGACGACGCCTCGCGGCCGCTCGTGCTCATCGGGCCCGGCACCGGCGTCGCGCCGTTTATGGGCTTTGTGCAGCACCGGTCGCTGCAGGTACGTCCCGTCATGTTCCTGACGCTAGCATAGTCCAATGCGACACTAGGCGGCGTCCACGCCGATCCACCTCTTCTTTGGCTGTCGCAGCAAGACCCAAGACTTCCTCTTTGGCGACGAGCTCCAGCGATACGCTGACAGCGGCGTCTTGACGACCTTGGCGCTGGCGTTCTCGCGCGACCAGGTGCATCATATCTCCTTGGTTTTGTAGCAGGCGCGTAATTTGACGTAGGCGGAGAAGCACTATGTGCAGCATGAACTCGCGCTGCACGGTGCGACCGTCTACGACGCGCTTGCAAAGGCCAACGGCATGGTGTACGTCTGCGGCGACGGCATGCACATGGCCAGAGACGTGCACGAAGCGTTGGTATCGGTCTTTGAATCGCACGGCACGCTTTCGCGGGACGACGCCGAAGCGCAGCTCAAGCAACTCGCACTGGACGCCCGCTACGTGCGCGACATTTGGTGCTAAACCATTTTGGCGTCAAGAAGACAAATGTTTTGTTCTTATATGCAAGAAGCGTCGGGTGCTTAGTCCCACTGGTTGCTGACTTCGGGCGGGCGCATCGCGATCGCCTGCTTGGCGCTCTCGACCTCGAGTGCGTGCTGCCAGCGCTTCACAAGGCCCTCGTCCATTTCCTTGTTGGGGTTGCGGAGCACGGCGACGCTCAACTCGTCTTTGGCCACCAGCGCTTGTGCCACGAGCTAGTTTGGAGTGTGAAACGACCCGCTCGGTATGGACAATGATGGACCTCTGGCTTCTGGGCGACGAGCGCGACGTACAGGGCGTCGTTGAAGCGCCTGCGGAGCATCAACGTCGGAAAGTGCGCATGAACGTCGATGCCTTGGCGCACGAGGGCCGCGATCGACCGCTGAAAGAGCGACGTGCCCTACGCCAGGGTGTCATTTGGTTGTCTTGATACAAAGTTGATACGCACCAGAATGTCGTCGCTGTCGACGGACGCCGCGAGAAGTTGCGGCAGAAGCGCACATAGCGCATCGCTCGCATTGTGCTAGAGAGATTCAAGGTCGTGGGATCTCCCAGAGGACGGGCGTACCTTGATGCAGAGGTTGGCTTTGATGCCGATCGATACGGTGGGCAGCGCCACGGCCAGTGTCCCAAAGCCAAACGCCTAGCCGCAGATTATGAGCCAACGCTACTTGCACGAGTCGTACGTCCAGATACGTAGCGAGGTAGTCGGCGAGGTCGAGGCTAATGTGTGGCACGAGGGCCACCGCTTTGGCGGGCGACCCTTGCGCCACAAACATGCAAAACTGCAGTACTTCGTTTGTGAGGTCGATCGAGTAGACGCTAGCACGTGGCTTCGAACCCGTTGGCCCATACCATAAACAAAGCGTACCATTGATGCACGCATGTCATGTAGAGCTGCTCCTTGACAACGCCGAGTAGCTGGAGGCCGCCACCAGGGTGTTGCTACCGTCACTTTCGAGTTGTGTGCAATCAACTTGAACGTACCTGCGGGACGGGAAGCTCGGCCGGGTGAATGGCCATGGGGTTGGCGCTCTCGTTGAAGGACGCCGCACTGGCGAGGAGGAAGCTGAACGAGCGGCTGCCACAGAAAAAGTAGCTCGTAATGTCGTCGTTCGTCGCGACGAAGAGCGTCATGTGCACCCAGAGCACCGAGACGACGGGCCGCGCGCACGCGATGCGGTGCAGAAAGGTGAGGACGCCGTCCCGGTACCGGTAGAGTAGCATTTTGCGCGCGTAGACGAGAACACAAAAGACGCCCGACTTATCCCACTCGAGGAACAGCGGCCCTTGCAGCGTCTCGCCGACCTACCGTCGAGAGACGCGATCGATAGAAACCAAGGCGACCTCCCGTACCTTGGTCAAGTGCTTTGGCAAGGACGGGTGGCCGTCCACGGCGGCAATGTCGGGCGCGTCCCACTGGTACAACTCGAGGTGGAATTTCACGCTGGCGATCTCGTCGACCATGGACGCGGACGTTGTTGCATCCAGTGGCTTTGCTTTGGGTGACGCCGGCTTGTCGTCGGCGGGCAAAATGCAGTACACAACGCCGAGAAGCGGGCCCGAAAAGATGTGCACGATCGGGTGTCGAAGCGCGAGCCGATCGACAAGGACGTTGGCGACGCCGCTGACAATGTCGTAGAGTGCAATCGATGTGTCGGCCTCGAGGCTCTTGACGTCGTTCTTGTAAAAGTACGAGAGCTGCGGACCCGTGACGATCGGCGTGTCATCGGCCTTGGAGAAGAACCCGAGCTTGCGCCGCGGGCTCTCGGTCGTCAGGACCGCGGCCGACGCGCTGCGCGTCATGCGTCGCGTCGGTGCCTCGTGCGTCTAGGCCAAGTCGTCCTTCAACATATCGACGTATCAAGTGCGACGTACGGCCAAGAGCGCGTAACGTAGCTTGTCATGGTGCCACGCGATCGCTTGGCCGGGTCCGTGCGTCACCTACGATCGTCACTCACTCGGATCACTCTGGTAGCGCCGTACCATTTGATACTGGACGTTCTGACTATCACGCATGACCGACACGACCTACTTGGACATTGGCGCCATGCAAACATGGGCGCGCACGCGCCTCAAAGTTGGCGCCGTTGGCTGCGAGAATGGCCAGCACATCGCGCGACGGGTGCTTTCGGAGCACCGGAATCGACTCTTTGGTCGCGTACTTGAGTGCGTAGAGCTCCTTCTTGGCCTTCTCAAGGAGCGGAACCGTGCGCAGATGCGTGTTCGTGCTCAGGATCACGGCGGGAAGTCTAGTACGCTCTTTCATGTCATTTACATTTGTGCAACGCCAAGCGTACCCTGCCATCATCGTGGCCACGTGCGGCTTGAGATGGTGCAGCTTGAAGAGCAAGAGCCCTGTAAACTTCCCATGAGCAGCGTCCGAGGCGTCTCGCGCACCGTGGTTCGTCGCGCACCCGATGAGCGATTGGTCGCGCGGACACTGCACAACCGTGTTGATCTTGAGCTTCTTGGGCACTTTCTACGCCAGTTCAATTTTGACAAGAGCACATTATCCTGTGCGTACCGGGTGCAACGTTCGCACATCTTTCGAGACGTCGGCGCGCACAAGCGAGACATCCCCGTCCGGCGTCGTTGGCTACATGCCGCGTCGGTATGTATGCAAACAGTCGCCATCGCTCGACGCACCTTGCCCTTGGAGTTGAGGTCCGAGACAAAGAGCTATAAAAATATTAAAAAGAGTCGAAAAAAAGACGTCGATGGAAGCGTACGAGCGATGTCTGCGCACACTGGAGCAGCACAAAGTTGTTCTTGCTCGAGCCCAAGAAAAGCGTCGCTTGCGTCGGTCGGATCGCGGTTGGCGCGGCCAAAAACCCGCCCGCAAAGGTAGCCCTACCCCTTCGGTGTCATTGTCGCACGTTGGTGGCACAACGCACCGCTGTTCCTTTTGTTTCGGTCTATCACGTCAGCACGATTACGACAGGGTCCAATATGACACATCCACACACCGGGACGCGAGCAAGAACGAGACGTCGTAAAAGAGCACGTGGCCGTCCCTGGTAATGCCAGCGATCGCGCCGTCTTGACGCAAGAGCTTGACTTCGAGGAACCCCGACGCTTGCTTGGTGTCAAACTCGCTCGCGCGCGACTGCTGAAACTCGCTCTCCAAGTGGTGCAGCGACCACACCTACCGTGTGGACATAACAACACGTTCAATGGACAAGGACAGAGTCGGTACAATGGCTTTGCCCTCGGCGTTGATCGTGGTCAAAAAGCAGTGGAACTCGCTCGAGTGGAAGAGCGTGTTGGGCGTTGCGTGCACGTGGCCGCCCGTGGATGGGATCAGTACCATGTGAGAGACGTCTAGAGGTCGACCGTCAGGCATGCAACGATGCGGCGATGGACGCACCGCGGGGCAGACCCGTGTCGATGACGTGGCAAACTTTGGCCATGCGAGGGCTATAGACCCGCACCTTGCAGTCGCTGCAGCCTGCATACGTGATGGGAAGCGGTGCGCAATATAGTGTTGTACCAATGGCGAGAAAGCCGCCCGGGAGGGTCTCGATTGACGTGGGCGTTGCGCGCTGGAGCTCGTCGGGCGTGATCAGCCGCGTCTACCAGCACCTCGTAAGCGTCGTCTCGTTCATGCTGCAGACGACGCACGGTTTTGCCATTGAGGTCGCAAAAAAGGATGTGGTGCATCGAGAAGATGACGAGGTACTCTTCGTAGCACTCGATGCCATGGGCGACGCCAGACGCGTGGGCAATCGCGTCGCGATCAAAGAAGAGAAGCGTCGCTGTCGTCTTGGTCTTGCTGCCGCCGAGCTTGGGCGAAAACGTCTTGGAGAGGTTGATCGCACCCGGTGATTGCGGCGTGTCGGGCTCTGCGGGCGTCGCCGCATCTTCGCCCGTCTACGCCCATCACTTCACCCAATTCATATATATACGATGTGTACCGCGAGCGAGAAGCGCTTGAGGACCTCCTTTGTCTCGTAGTTCCAGACGAGCCCAAAGTCCTTGTCTTCGACCGCCGCCGCCCATGGCCGGATCGGGTGGAACGTCAAGCCCGAGAGCTTGCTCTTCTTCTTACCCTGAAGGCCATCGGCCGTCAAGAGCGCGTAGAACTCCATGCCAAACTTGTGGACGACCGTCGCCTCAGCCGGCAGCGTCCATGGCTCCGCGTCCATGGCTCGTCGAATGCGATCTTTTAATTTCAACCAATCCCAAGCGACAATGCTTGCAATTGGTCAAAATCATTTCGAAATAAGATCGCAACACCCTCGACCGCCATATCGTCTCTCGCATCCTTCTTGACAAGCTCCTCGACATATCATCTAGAGAGACGAGGAAGGCTCTTCCTCATAGGCGGAAGAGCAAAGAGACTTGGGATGGTCCCATGAAGCGAACCATCGTTGCTGCTGCTGCACTCGCGCTTTTCTATCACCACGACGGTTGGTGGCATCTCTGCGGGCGTGATGTATCCAGCTGCCATATCACTGCGTACGCCAGCTACTAGCAGCTACATTTCACGCACTTTGAGAGCTCGTTGGTGGGAGCGCATCCTGCTCCTGGGGTTAAAAACGGAAGCTAGATTCTGTCCCAATACGGCGACCTTGAAGTCGATGCAAACCGATTTGGCCAATGGCCTTGCGCCATCTATAGAAAATCAGCCAATCACGAGTTGGCTAATTCTGCATACAAACCGCGAGATCAGTTCTTGTCGCGCTCACCGAGACGTTACTCCACCTTTGGCCACGAGCCCGACAGAGGACCGTCCGACGACCGACTGAAGCCATGGGCAGCTCCATTAGCTGGTGCACGAACCCAACGCATGATGGTGGCCTTCCATGGCGGCGACCTCGCCTCATGCATATATAGAGTGCCTGGAGAAGGCGCCGTCGCCGCTGCTCCTGCGCATGCACTCGTTCTCGTTCGATGGCGACGCGCATGGCCCACCACGGTCGCCGTCTCGGTGCGTGCAAAGGTAGCACGAGAAGCGCTCATATCGATATGCTGTAGCGCCGAGACACCTGGCGGTAAGCTACTGCGCGACTACTACAACCATGTGGTCGAGACCGAAAGCAGCGGGTGGGTCCTCATCACACGGCCCCCTATTAGTCGCTACACCATCACCGATGATTAGCACCGATGACAGCGATCACGTCGACGAGTACGCACCTTCATGCACCTCTTGCATGCACCAACACGATTGTCTAGGACGCAAGTGCCCACCGCGCTCCTGCCACTTATTCAGCCCACGCTCTCCTCGCGTGAGCCCAAGCGGCTCACGATCGACGCGACGCTTCAAATGTACTCGACCATCGACTTGCGTCCCTCGGTACCGTCCGACGCTTCCATCCCGAGAAGACACCATTAATCGTAGGTCGAGCCGCAGTGTCGAAAGGTGCGAGCTGCCTCCATGGACGCCATGCTCCGGAGTCCGCCACGCAGCCCCGTCGCCAAGCGGGTACCTCTACCACGTACTGCTAGGAACAGTCGACTAGAACAGTGCTTGTAGGAGTGGGCGTACAAGCCGTTTTGGTGCGACCTGCCGACGCGCGCGCTGCCATTGACACCGCGGTCGCCCGCAGCGAGTTAGTCGATAACAATAACTACTATTAGTATATAAGGGTGAGTCTACACCGTGGGCTTGACCCACGTGCTAATGCCCCGCTTCGCATGCGAGTAGTAAAACTTGCCGCGGATGCTGCGGCTCTCGCGCTTGACCCAGCCCGGCGGCAGCTTCTCTTCCTTGGGCATGTCGGCCATCTGCTGCGCGCGCTTGGTCATCTCTTCCGGGTGAAAGTGGCAGATTTCCCTACATCATCAATAATCAATCCACTTGAATCTCAATCTCAATGGCAACACACCGAAACATGAGCTCCTTGAGGTCCGTCTCGCCGAGGTCCTCAAAGTCAAAGCTCTGAAACTTCTCGACCGTCGCGTGCGCGTCGTCGCGGGACGCGTCATAGTACTGCGCGAGGTACGGGTGCCGCAGCGCGTCTTGCACCGAGAGCCGCTTGGTCGCGTCGAAGACAAGGAGCTTCCAGAGCAGATCGAGGGCCTCGGGGTTCGCGTTCGGGAAGAGCACCGAGACGTCAATGCCTTGCATCGACGGCGTCTTACTCAAGAGCTGGCGCCCTTTGAACTTTTGCGCCTGCGGATTCTCCTTGAACGAGTGCTCCTCGGGCACGCCGAGCACGTTCATGATGAGCTGCAGTTGGTGCACATATGACCGACCGGGAAAGAGCGGCTTGCGACCGAGCATCTCGGCCATGATGCAGCCGGCCGCCCACACGTCGACACCTTCGCCGTACGTGCTGCCGAGGAGGAGCTCGGGTGCGCGGTACCAGCGCGTGACCACGTACTCGGTCATGCCGAGATCGTCGACGTCTTTCGGTCGCGCGAGGCCCATGTCGCAAATCTTGAGCTGGCAGTCCGAGTTGATGAGGAGGTTGCTCGGCTTGAGGTCGCGATGCAGCACGCCGCACGCGTGCATGTGCTCGAGGCCGCTCAGCATCTGGAAGACAAAGTACCGAATGTGGTCGTCGCTGAGCACCTCCTTCGAGTAGATGATCCGGTGGAGATCCATCTCCATGAGGTCGACCGTCATGTAGACGTCACGAAAGTCCTGGTACGACGGCGGCGGAATGAGGTCCATGAGCGACAAGATGTTTTCGTGGCAGAGGTGCCGCATCAAGCGCACTTCGCGCAGAATTTGCTTGAGCTGGTGCGGGTGCCAGATGCAGTCAATGACCTTCTTGATCGCGACGCTGCCGCCCGTGTCGTTGTTGGTCGCGGCAATCACAATGCCGTAGGCTCCCCGACCGCAGACCTTGATGAGGTTGTAGTGCTTGGGGATCACGAACGGTGCGCTGCAGACGGTAAAGACGTGCATGTTGGCATCGTCCTCACACTCTTTGGCCTTGAGCGGGTCGATCATGAACGACGTCTCGGGCGACTCGGGCTTCTCGCCGTTCTCGCACAATGGCTTCGAGTCGACGTTGACGTTGGACCACCCGGGGCGCCCAATCTCTTCCGCGTTCTTCTTGGCGTGCCACTGCATGAGGTGCACCGGCGTGCCCCGGCCGTCGTCCGACGACTTGGCCTTCTCGTCGAGCACAATGTTGCACGAGACGCTGATCTGCACCCGGCCGCAAAACTCGCCCTTCGCGTTGCTCATCGTGACCCACTGCGTCTGGCCCGCGCTCTGATCGACAATGTACCGCGCGACGTTGACGGTAGCCGACGCTGCGACCGCCCTCTCGCCCTTGGCCACGTCGACGACGTCGACGTGCAGCCGGCACGGGCCCTGAATGTTCTCAAACGGAAGCTCAATCACCGTGTTCCACACCGGCGCGACGACGTCCGAGTTGGAGAGACCGCGGTTCCGTGCCACGTCCGTCATGTTGTCCTGGCCGCTCTTGCGCTCCATGGCCATCGGCGTCGAGCTCGCGCTGCTGGATGCCGACGACATGGTCTGCCGGTACATCATGTTGCTCGCCGAACTCAGCCGGCGCGAAATCGTCGCCGGAAGCGACGGCAATTGCACCGGGATCGGCAGCGACGGCAAGTACGACGACGCCGTCGATGTCGGTGCGGGTGGCGGCGGTGGCGGCTCGTCGCCCGTGAGCAGCTTGAGAATCACCCGCGGGTCCTTGAGGCCGACGCCGGTCGAGCTCTTCTTGCCCGACGCCGTCACGCGCGACTTGATGCCCGAGCCTTGCAGCACGCGCACCGTAAGCGTGCCCGAGGTTGGCGTCGGCACTTCGTGGAGGTCCTGCGGCAAGCTGAGCGTCGTGGCGGCGCCCGGGACCTTGAAGACGGCCGAGGCCGCGACCACGTCGCCGTTGATTTCAAACTTCATGAGGCGGCCGTCGGGACTAAAGTTGAACTTGTGCACCCAGTTTTGCACAAATTTGCGACGATCTTTGGCGTTCTCGAGCTCCTCCTTGCCCGACGCGACCGCGACGCTCTCTTCCATCGCGATGCCCTCAATCTTGAAGTGGTACCAGAGCGTGCTGGACGCGAAGAGGTTAAGGTACGTGAGGAGGCCGACAATGCCGCGGTAGTTGCCGCAGAAGGGCACGGACGGCGGGTAGTTGCTCGAAATCAAAATGTCCTTGTCGATGAGCCGAAAGAAGCGCGTAAAGACTTGCTCGGACGGCGGCGGGACGGTCACGGCCATGTCGCCCGACGTGCGCCAGTTGCCGCTAAACGCCGTGTAGAGCACGATCAGCATCGCGTAAAACTCTTCAATCTCAAGCGGAAAGACAGGCAGGTCCGGGAGCGACACCATGGCCTCGAGCGCGAGCCGGCATCCAGATCACGCGCTCCATCGCCGACGGCGCC